GCAGAAGCCAGAATCCTTGCATGATACGGATTTCTACCAATCTCATCACGTAAGACATTAATTCTCACGACGTGAGCCATGTCTTATGAAAACTATATATATATATATATATATATATATATATATATATATATATATATATATATATATATATATCTTTTTATTTACAATTGAAGGAGCTTTTGGGAGAAAGGATATTCAGAGATACTCGAGTTGACGGGTCAGAATCCTGCAAAAATCATTCTTTAGAAGGAGAAAGTGTTGAAGATTGAGAGTTTGAAGATTAATTCATTACATTCGGTTTGTGTTTATTTAATCATGTCAATTTCTTATGAACATATGTGTTTACTTTCAACAATGAGTAGCTAATCTAGTTTACTTTCGTTTAGCTAGATGAAACCTTGAAACTATGAGTTAGTTTACTATTTTTTGGATTTTATAAAGTTGCATTAGTGCTTGTGTTTGATTATCATTACCTAGCATGTTAAAGTTTGTATCTTTGTTGCTTAAATTCAAGTTTAGTGTAGCTTAGTGACCATTAAATTACATTAACTTGTTTACCTAGTAGTTTAGTTACCATTAAATTGCTAGAGCTAGGAGTGACCATATCTTAGATAAGTGATAAAAGTAACAAATTTAGCTGTGTTGGACAACATAATTGTGTTTGCTTAATTGTCTTAGATAAATCTTACATAACCTAATTATCATTAATAACTCAGTATGTGTTTGCTTGTGTAGGACCATTACATAGTAGTACATGAATTGGTGAAAATATTAGTAGACAGGACCAAGATTGCTAATTACATAGTAACTAGTAACCAACTTTATTAACCTATAAATAGTAACTAACCATAGGAAAAAGTAGATTCGAAACTAAACAAAAGTGTTTTTAATATCTTGATTACAATCATTTTTTAGTTGAGTGCTGAAGTTAGTCTGAACTTGCAAAATCAGATAAAACCCCTTTTAATTATTGTTTGTTTTTAGATTAATTTTTAGTTGTTATTTTATTATACTGAATCTGTTTCCTGTGTTCGATACCCAACTTACTTTACTATACTATAAACTGACTAGGTACACTACATATAGGTGCATTAGTAGATAAGTAGTTAGGTTATAAAATTTAAAACTAGATAGGTATAATTTTGCACATATCAAGCATACAGATCTATAAACTCACACAATAGACACATAAAGGCATCTCTCTTAGTATTCTATCATGCAATCCTGAGCAGATACTTAGCCCTAATCTAGCATGGAATTCTCATATCATAACGTAAAACATATATCATGTATGGGTATTTTGGGAAGACTTACTTGAGCTCGGCTGATTGCACGCATCACACTCATTTCTTTTATTAAAATCCCATAATTAAAATGTTTATTTTTATGGAAAATCTATCAAATTCTCGATTTGAGTTCAGACACACCCAAGAGTTGCCAGAATCCCTCAAACCAAGGCTCTGATACAAACTTGTAACATTCTAAAATTTCCAAATAAAATTTTCATTTCAAACATCCAATAGTCATGACGAAATAACCAAAAGTGTATCATGATGAAAATAATATCAGAATACATATCCCGAAAATCAAGTAAATGTGGAAATCATGGGCATATGCGGTGCGATCAAGTTGGACCTTCTCTTTTGAGCTGGAGGTACTTGAAACATAAACTAAAAAGTATAAGTACAAAGCTTAGTGAGCTCCCCCAAAATACCCTATACCATACATACATAACAGTCAAATCATAACTTCTATTTCAACCGGTACCGAGTATACTTCAACCCCTTCGATCTCTTTCAACTGGTACTGGGTATATTTTAACCTATTCAGTCTCTTTTAACTGGTACTGGGTATATTCCAACCCATTCGATCTCTTTCAACCGGTATCGGGTCTATTTCACCCCTTACAACTAGCATATAATCATAACAGTAAGAGTCACAAAGACATCAAGCATATATAGACATAACATGTAATTGTCACGAAGACAATCATCCTCCTACAAACATAATCTAGTGGGCCGGCATTGGTGCCTTCGACCCACGAATATATTGAAGGAAACTCACTCAGACTAAAGATATCAAATCACACTCGAGTTGTTGAATCGTGAAATTCTCTCACTAAGTCACAAGTAATAAAACCCTTATTAGAAATTAGGTCAATAACCCAACTCGAGAGTCTAAACCCTAATTTCCGGCTTTAAGGGAAAAAGGTTGCTTTCCTTCCCCTTATTAGGCCTAACATACCAAGGCCCAAATCCAAACTAGCCTAAAAGTCCAAAAAGGCATTATAAGTTTAAAAACGGGCCTAAATCCATAAAGGCCCAAACCTAGAATAACTTGTGGTCCAACAAGAGCTCAAAACCCTAAAGCCTAAGATGGCCCAAAACTAAAAGCTCAAAAACCCTTGCGTGTGTACGCTAAGCGTACACTCAGTACGCCCGATGTACTAAGATGCTTCACTGGATCGAGACTCCAGGTGCGTACGCTTAGCTTACAGTTGCATACGCCCCAGTTGGCCACTTCCCCCTTTTAAGATCTTAATCAGTTAAAACCAAACGTCCAATTTTAGATCTAGCCTCTTTAAGACGTCCTAAACAATAAAGTTGACAACTTTATCCCTTTGCAAGTCTTAATGGGACACAAGTCATGGATTTAACACTCTACTTCCATTAAGTGGTCACTAACTCATGCATGGTTGATCTTACACTATATATATATATATATATATATATATATATATATATATATATATATAGTGTTAGTCTTTGTATTAGGTTTATGGGTCTTTAAATACATGCTCACAACACTATTATTGGAGCTATCAAATGTTGTAATCCTATACCTTTGATTAATGAGTTAAACTGTATTATTTACTTTTTTTTTTTGATTTGTTTTGTTAATTATTCTTAAATTCTTGTGTCCAAAATTCTTCACAATCACTTCTAGATGTTGTGTAGTAGAATATCAAAATATATCTATTTTAGGAACAATACCCAAAACATTGCATGGCATCTCAAAATAAAGGACTTTATGGAATCCATCGGGATATGTATAAAATAAGTGATTTAGGTACCAATAAAGAATCCCTCCTAACAAATCAAATGAAAGAAACCCCAACCCAACCAACCATAACTAATGATATAGATCCACTTGAGCACGAATGCACGATCATTGTGATTAATCGTGTAGTGCCATTGTGAGGAACTTCTGAATAAAAAACAGGCTGAATTTCATAAAGTTTGATGATAGAATCTAAGGTTTTTTTTTTATTAAGTACATAATGTATAATTCATATCATTTTTTTTCTCTGGTGACAGGAACATATGTTTTGAAATAACAAAAATCATATTTTTTGGTGAGAAAAATGAAGACATTGGAATCTATTAAAGAAGTTAATGGTAAAAACCTAGAAATAGTTTATTACAAATAGTAAATATATCTACAATCATGGGTGGTAATCCTCAATGAAATGATGACATGTGTGTTTCCCAAGTAAAGATTCGAGAGACTAATGTTTAGGCTCCAAAGTCGTTTCTATATACAACTGATGACCCCATCGTCGAAAAAAGACAATCAAAGTATAAACTAGGACTCTGGACCGTTGTATATCTAATATTCATCGGGCGACTTAATGATATAATTATTCGATATATAAAAAAATAATCGCAATATTATTGGACCTAGTTAACCATAATGACAGCTAGGTTGGTCCTACACAACGGACATGGATTCCGATCGAGTATGATAAGGCTGGTCAAAACTACAATCTTATCAGTTCAATAGATACATGTCATAAATGAACAATAATAATGAGAGATCTACTTATTATGAACAATACAAGAAATCAAGCCTAAGACAAAATGAATGTCGACTATACCTCCACCCAATTAAATTTTTATGGTGAAACAACAATATCGTTAGTGTCGTTTGAGGTAAGCCTCGGGAATAATATCCAAGATCAAACATAAATTCCTCCGTAAACATGATACCTCAATGGTAGACACCATTCTCCATACGAGGCCATGTAATAATAGTTAGACCTAGGATATATAAAACATCACATTCTCTCTCTCTCTCTCTCTGTCTCTCTCTCTGTGTCTGTGTGTGTGACTGAGCGTTCTTCTTGATCAATGCTCATGGTTCCTATAACGGTTTCTCCTTAATGTTGTTACCATGTTTATGCAATAGCATTAAACATCCGCTCAACGAAAATCCGGACTTTCCAAAACCTAAGTAGGACTACGTACATAATATTTGAAATGTGATAAAATTGATACCGTTACTTACGGTTAAAACATGTTTGTTTTGTAGTTTATCTCCACCAAACAAACGCTCAATAATCTAGTAAAGATTAAAACAATTTACCCATGAATGAGTGCTTCTAAGTTCTAAGATATTTTATATATAATACATACAAAGAATTATCCCATTCTTATTACAAATACAACTCTAAGTTAATCGTAAAAGCTTAATCTTAACACACCAGTCAATAGAATTCTAACAAAACTCATCATTATTACATAAGCTTGGAACTTCGATGGATTGATGATATTTATCCAAAATGTAACAATGAATTAATTTAACAACACGACGGAAATACAAAATTTTTACAAATAATTTGTTAAATTAATAGGTCCAAATTCAATCGATATTGTACAAAACACTGTAAAGCATATTATCTCTGAAAATAGTCATTATTAATCTGGCAATAACATAATCTTGCATATGAGATCGAAATAATTCAACTTAAACGACCACGAGTGTGAACTAATCAGAGTTGAAACACTAGATTACATCTTTAGATCCTTAAAAGACATTAATACCCTTGAATATCCACTCCTTGTTGCTGCACTTCCCTTATAAAAGCCGAGTCCTTTTCCGTCAAAAAGAAAAATCTGCAACCCTTTTTAACCCTCCACCACTCCCGACCACTCTCCACGGCCGCCATGGCTACTTTCCGATTGTGGTTTGATTTGTAGAGAGAAAGAGAAACGGTTATGGACCCCCATAGCTTCATAGCACGGGCGGAAGCGCAACGATGGCTCGGCATCGCCGAGAAGCTGCTCATGGGCCATGACCTCGTCGGCTCCAAGACATTTGCGATCCGAGCACGAGATTCCGATCCCAGACTCGAAGCTGCTGAACAGATCCTAGCAATTGCCGACACGCTCCTCGCCGCCGAAAAACGAGTCGTCGGAAACAACGGCGCTCAGCAGCCGGATTACTACGCGATTCTGCAGCTCGTCAGGTTCGTTCAGGATACTGACCACATCGCCTCGCAGTTCCGGCGGCTTGCCGTTGTACTAAATCCTCACCAAAACAGGTTTCCTTACTCCGATCAAGCGTTTCAGCTTGTGAATGATGCTTGGGCTGTGTTATCGAACCCTATGCGGAAATCTATGTATGATTCGGAGCTTGATTTTCCGCCGCAACAACAGATGAACACTATAGGGTTTAACCTCGAACAACAGCACCACCACCAGCAACAGCATCACCACCAGCAACAGCAGCAGAGTCATCAGCAGCATAATTTTTTTTCGATTAATCACATGGGGTCGAGTCATGAGCAGGATTTGCCTGAGCCACAACAGACATTTCAAACTAGGGTTCAACAGAGTCATCAACAGCAGCAATTGCAGCAGCATAATTTTCTGTCACAACCGAGTCCGGTAAGGCAAGAGCAACTATTTCAGCATCGTGAACAGGAACATCTGTTTCAGCCTCAAGCACAACCTTTTCAAGTTTCATCTCCGCCGCATCAACAAGCTAGACAACAACCACAACCTCCTCCTCAGGTACAGCCTTTTCAAGTTACATCTCCACCACATCAGCAGAGTAGACAGCAACTACAACCTCCTAAGCGTGAGCAGGAGCAACTGTTTCACCACCGGGAGCAAGAACAACTGTTTCAGTCTCAAGCACAACCTTTTCAAGTTGCATCTCCACCCCGGCAGCAAACTCGACAACCATCACAACCTCCTCCGCCACAGGTTCAACCTTTTCAAGTTGCATCTCCGCCCCGGCAGCAAACTCGACAACCATCACAACCTCCTCCGTCACAGGTACAACCTTTTCAAGTTGCATCTCCACCCCGGCAGCAAACTCGACAACCATCACAACCTCCTCCACCACAGGTACAACCTTTTCAAGTCACATCTCCGCCACACCAACAAACTCGACAACCACAACAACCTCCTCAGCCACAGGTACAACCTTTTCAAATTACATCTCCACCACATCACCAAACTAGACAACCACAACAGCCTCAGCCTCCTCAGCCACAAGTACAACCTTTTCAAGTTACATCACCGCATCAGCATCAGCAAATCCGACAATCATCACAACCTCCTCAGCCACAGCCACAGCCACGTATGCAATCACCAAGTCCCCCTCCGCCTGCAGCAGCACCACAACCCCCTTTTTCTTGGACGCAAGCACCACCACAGCAGCAGCCTCCGCCTTCTCAACCACAACCTCAGCCACCCCCTCCTCAATCACGACCTCAACCTCAACCTCAACCTCAGCCTATACATCAGCCTAAGCCTCAGCCACAGCCGCCACCTCCCCAATCCCTTCCCCAGGCCCAATCACCACCTCCACCAGTCCAATCCCGTATCCAATCACAACCACCACCTCCCCAACCCCGGCCTCAGCCACCTCCAGAGCCACAAATGCAACAACAGCAACAGCATTTGCAGCCCCAACCACAGCAACAACTCCAGCAGAAGCAAGAACAGCTCCAACCCCCACCCCAACCCCAACCCCACCCCCACCCCCACCCCAACAACAAGAGCAAGAGTCTCAAGTACATAATGCTGCTCCTATGGAGCTTCCTTCTCAAGTCAACAGTAACAATGGTGTAATGGAAGAAGAAATAGAAACAGAAGCTGAAGAAGAACCCGATGAAGTTGTAGACAATTCCCCCACCTTTTGGACTTCATGTCCTTTCTGTTACTACATGTATGAATACCCGAAAGTTTATGCCGAATGTACCCTCCGTTGTGACCACTGTCAAAGGGCATTTCAAGCTGTACGTATCCCCCATCCACCACCCATAACAGAAGGCCAAGAAGCATATTTCTGTTGTTGGGGTTACTTCCCATTAGGTGTTTCCATGTCACATCTAGATAAAAACAAAACCCAAAGTAACAAAAAGACTTGGACACCCTTTTCACCTATGTATAATCCCTCAACTAATATCCAAAACCAAAACCAAAACCAAAAACAGAACCATTTAAATGGTAAAGCGGCCCCGAAGGAGAATACTTTTGTTAACAAAAGTTCGGGGCCGCGTATCCACATTGATGCTATTGATGATATTACAGACGATGTGTTCATGGAAGTCTCTAAACAAACTTCTGATTCCGATTCCGGTTCCGGTTCTGGTTCTGGTTCTGATTCCAATGCTAGGAAAAAGATGAAGAAAGATCCGGAATTGGAATTCGAAAACAGGGGGCGAGATGTTGGTATTAGTGCACGGGATGCTAAAAATGAAATCTTGAAGAATCTTGGAAATGGGATGGGAGTTGAAGAGAGTGGGAATCCAAGAAGGGAATCGGGTAGGGTTGGAAAGGAATTGGGGAAGTTGGATTTGAATGTGGAATTCAACAATAATGAAGGGCATGGACATGGGCAAGGAGAAGGAGATAATGTTGAAGGGAATGGATTCTTTGAAGGACTTGATGAGTTTTTAAGCAGTTTGCCAATACTTTCTGTTGTGAATGAAGAAAAGGTTAAAGCTGCTTAGTGATCAAATCAAGTAAGTTTTATCCTTTTCTTGTTGTAGTTTGTAGTAGTTGTTTTTTTAATAATGGACAATGTAGTGTAGTGGTGTAGTTGCTTTGTCTTTTTTATTGTTAGTCTCATTTTGTGTTGTATATCTGATTGCAAAATGTGTTTTTCAGCCTTTTTGCTATTTTGATAGTCGGAAATCATCCACCTTTCATTTTAGTTTTGAATTTCTTCTTTTTGATCTTTTATTTTTATGCAAGTCTTGAAAAGATTTGTGACATTGTTATAATTGGATATATTGTTCAAAGTATAGAATAAGAAGAAATGAAAGTTGGATGCTATAATAAACCAATGATTGAAAGTACGTTGCTATTTCTTGCATTTAGGCTTTGTCTTACGTCTTATCACCCAAATATGATCAAAGTATCAATTAATCAAGCCACCAAACTTGGGTATTGATCAGAAACTATGTCGACACATTACAAAATGGAAAAACATGTTAAAAGTTTTCGGTTAAAATTAACTTAAAACCTTTTTCTACAAATTTACTCTCTTGTCTTTCTTAAGCTCTCATCTAATTTGTTATTTTTTAAAAGTATATTTAGTATTTATAAAATTAAATATATTTAATAACATCATTAATTAAAATCAGCATGTTACAATACACCAAAGCTGGAATTAACGCTTAGTCCTCTGGACACAAAAATATTATTTTGCCCTTAACATTTTTTTTTTGTTTTATGTTATTTGTTAGTTTTTAGATTTAAAAAAAATAATAATATCCCACCCCTCCCCCTTCCCCCAATTTCCTTATACAACCACCCAACAACACTCCTACTCATACTTTCTCCGATGCTTTTTTCTCCGGTGAGACCAAAATCCAAACTTTCTTCAAGACGTTAAACAAAGAAATCGATACATCTCCCTCTAAATCTCCGGCTACAATGGCTTCTTCTCACCGGCGATCCTTACATCTCAAACCAACAAACATTTTCGATTTGTACTTTCCGGTTGATGTCCATGGTCTTTGAAACTCATCGACCACTCAATGTTCTAACCTGAGTCCATATCCGACAAAGAGGTTGTGTAACGACCACCATCACCACCACAATCTGTATGATTCCCATTTCGGCTTCTGAAACCATTTTTTATTTCGATTTTTGGAACCAATTTCGGTTACTTTTTTATATTGGTTTGGTTTGGTGCTTAACTCACTGCCGTCGAGGAACCTTAGATCAATCTCCTCTTTCCATCTTTTTTTGGGTGCAAGAGAGATGGCGAGACCATCATTACTGGAACTGCAATAGAAGGTTGTAGATCTGCAAGCAATAAACCCTAGCGATGGTGGTCGCTGATAGTGTTCTGAGACAAAAAGGAGAAACATAGTAGATAGTCGGTGGTGAAGTAGTGACATCTGCTTAAGAGTTGAGTCGGTGGTCACTAACGGTGAGATATGCACTAAGGTTATAATTTTTTTTAGAGTAAATTATACGAATGGTCCTTATGGTTTGGAGTAATTTACATGTTTGATCCCTAACTTACTTTTTTAACTCGGAAGGTCCCTACTGTTTGTTTTTATTACACGTTTGGTCCCTTCTATTTGTTTTTGTTACGCGTTTGATCCCTGTTTTACCTAAAAAGACTATTATTTGAACAGAGAAAAATAATGAGATAGATAGGGTAAAGTCAGGGGAGTGGGGTTGGGAGTGTGTTTATTTAAATAATTTAAAAAATCATGGGCAAAATAGTCTTTTTAGGTAAGATAGGGACCAAACGTGTAACAAAAACAAACAATAGGGACCTTCCGAGTTAAAAAAATAAGTTAGGGACCAAACATGCAAATTACCCTAAACCATAAGGACCATTCGTGTAATTTACTCTTTTTTTTTAATATAAAATGAATTCTAAATAAATAAAAAAAACAAAATAGTAAGGGTAATATAGTCATTTTAAATCTAGCAAATGATTAAGTGTACAAATTTAAAGTAACGATGGATGAAGCGTGCAAGTTTTAAACAAACAAGAGACGATCCGAATATACATGAGAGACAATTGGTATAATATTTTTATGTTGAAATATACATGAGAGACAATTGGTATAATATTTTTATGTCATTATGTGTACATGTGTTTCCCACATTATATATTCATATGCCTATATGAGCGTGGACATGAGTTCATACAAGATAACCCTTTATTAACAATCGAAGCTGGTAATGTGTTTATGACAACCCGATTGGGTTTTGGGTTAGTCTGGTTTTCTAATTTAAAAAAAAAATCATCCGAAACCCGATACTATTAACTTGCGGGTTAGTCGGGTTAATTTGGAAATCCATCACGTAATCTCATTTTCCTATTTTATAATCTATTAGAGGTAAATAATTATAAACATCACTTTTTTAACCAATTTGGTCGAAATTCTCATTCACATTTCAAAGTAAGTTTATTTTTTGCAGCGGTTTGTTTCTTATTCACATTTTCTATATTTTACGGAATAATTCGTTGACGTTAAATCATATGTGGTCCACAAAGTTGTGGGAGACAATGAGAGCAATCAATCATTATGGCAAGAACATCTTGTGTACATAGAATAATAGAAATTCCATGCCAGGAAGAAACTAAGTGCACGTGTTTTTTAATTAAATATCTTGGTTGTTTCATTGATCACATATAAATTGTAAATAACCATCCAACTGAAAATATAATAAAATATTGATGCGTCGAAAGCCAACACTCTTATAAGATAAATGAGTATAATCGATCAGATAATTAATAATTTTCTTTTAGAAACGGTAAATATACTATAACTCCTAAATTATTCCTTATATGTCTATACGAGATTTGAACCCTTAATCTTCTAAATTAATAGCTAATGTAACTTTCCAAAAATAATAGTAAAACTTTTATTTTTCATCACCTGAAAGATACAATTAATTGTTCCAAACCAATTATAGTGTAAATATTCTCAACATAAGAGTGAATCCAAATAACATTGTAGTATAAAATCAAAGGGATTCTATGTGATCATGTCGTGCTCTTTCCTTTGGAACTGGAAATATCTGAAAATGTTTAAACCACAAATCATAGACATAAAATTTAGTGAGTTCCCCAAAATACACATAACATACAAAATGGCCCACCCCAGTGTTCTAAAAGGCGCGTCATGGTGCGCGCCAATGCGTGCCATGACGTGAAGTGTGACTTCGTCGTTATAAAAAGCCTCATAACGTTGTTGTTAGGTATGACGCGTGACAATACGTGATATAATGTGTCATGTCGTGTTATGTTTTTTCTAATCGGGGATACATGTATTGCTCTTTGTTATGTCTTTTCTAGTCAGATTGCGAGATATATTGGAAATCTATCAATTTTGTGGTTGGAAGAGCGCAATTGAATCTATGTGGGGGAGAACCACTTGGATTAAGGGATTACACAAGGAATGAGATTTTAGGTTACCTTGCGCATTAGTGGTGGCGCATGAAAGGTATGTGAATAGTTTCAGGTGGAGGGATTGTGTTAGAGCGGCTTTGCCTGTTCTTGTCTGATGAAGACATTGGGGTTCGAAGCATAACCTAAACACCTGATTCAGGGTATAGCCGGATAAGGTTTCGACTCATGATGATTATGGTTGGTATGGTAGATGCACGGTAAGACCATGGGTTGGGTCCATGGTAGTGTGGAAGTGTTGTAAGACTGCGGGGTGGCCGTAACATTTACTAGGTTAGCAGGTAGTGATAGAAATGCTGTAAGACTGCGGGGTGGCAGTATCATTCACTAGGCTGGCAGGTAGTGATACAAGTGTTGTAAGACTGTTGGGTGGCTGTAGCATTCACTAGGTTGACAGGTAGTAATAGAGGTGTTGTGAGATTGTGGGAATACCACAACATTCGTGGAATCAAGGAAAAATGTGGGCCATATGGGTTCGATCATGATGTAAGACTACAAATGGACGTGTAACATTCATTTAGAGCAAAGTAACTTTCATTGCATCAATTTAATGGTTGGTTGTGATATCCCTAGTTGGAACATGAGGGCTGTTGAAGCCTTATATACAAGTAGGTTAGGGTAGCTTGGCCATACAGACTCTTAGATAGGGTCTCATGGTACAGTCGTTTGAAAGGATGTCGGTTTTAGCGACCGTTCGGGAATCTGACACTTCAGATAATTGGTAGATCAGCTCGAAGCTCAAAAGATCTTGGATAGATCGAAAAGGAGAATGTTGGTCCATAGGATAATTTAGGGTCGTAAGAATTTTGTTCAGGGATGAGCATATGGACCGGGGAACCGGCTGGAACAGGTCTTAGAATCGGTACCGGAACCGAAACCCGATGGAATCGGTCGGGCCATGACCGATACTATAATTTCGTTAATTTTTGGAACCACGAACCGATACTATAATTTCCTCAATTTTTGGAACCGACCCAAAACCGGGAACCGAACCGAATAACTCACTCAAAATTTGAAAGTTGCATAACTCACTCAATTTAACTTTTTTTTTTTTACCTAAATCTTTTTCCTACATGTAGATTCTGATTTGTAGTTAAGTTTACACTATAAAAATGCTTGATTTGATTAAAAGTTAAATGAGTTACAAGCCCCGCAAGGAAGGGTGTCAAATCAGATTTTTTTTTTTTTTAATGTTTCCACAATTAATTGTAATCTGACTTTGTTGTTCAAATGTGCATAACTCACTCAATTTATCTTGTTTTGACCTGAATCTTTTTCATACATATAGATTAGAATTTGTAGTTAAGTTTAGACTAAAAAAACTTTTGATTTGGTTAAAAATTGAATGCGTTACAAACCCCGCAAGGAAGCGTGTCAAATCAGATTTTTTTATGTTACAACAATTAAACGTAATCTGAATTTATTGTTCAAATGTGCATAACTCACTCAATTTAAGTTTTTTTACCTGAATCTTTTTCCTACACGTAGTTTAGGTTTTGTAGTTAAGTTTAGACTATAAAAATACTTGATTTGGTTAAAAACTGAATGAGTTACAAGCCCCGCAAGAAA